CTAGCCAGTCAAGAAACGCCACAGGCAGTGGATGATAAATACCAAAAATATCAGTGCTGACAAGTCCACAGGTGGTGGAGTCTTTATGGACAGGTTTGAAAGAAAAAGGCTTCATGAAAGAGACATAACTTAGAATCAGTTCAGCATAGGGGCCGCAGAAATCCTCTAATCCGACTAGGTGAATCCCTTCTACAACATGGCTAATAAATGGCTCTTCTTTTTATCCTCACGAGCTATAGAGAATTCACTTTCATGAGACATCCATTTAAAAACTCTCAGAAATAATGTCCATCCTCATACTAATCCCCGAATCAGTCTCCTTATTAAATATAATAGTGTTATCCAGAGCTTCCCAGACCTTCCATCCTGGCACCATACGGCACTCCTGGGTATCACAGCTGTGCTGGCTTATTTATTTCCTTAGCTCCCCAAGCTGTCCTGCAGAGACTGAGGTAGCCACAACCCCTGGTCTATGGCTGTGGGAAACTGCCTGTGTTTATCCTAATGCCATGTATTCTGCTATGAGAAAGATCGCCAAGCATTGCTCAGAATGGGGGAGAAGAGGTTGAGTCAGACAGACCCAAGTTAGAATCTGTCAGACCTTCAAGCCTCAATTTCTACATTGAAAAAAGGGTGCACTGGTCCTGCCTCCCTTGCAGAGTTGGTGTAAGAATTAAAGATAACACAAGAGCACTAAAAAATAGTATTGTCATAGTTCTCCTTTTGCCCTTTTAAAAATGATAAAGAATTCCTCTTCTGTTTACAAACTTTAAATTATTAAAAAATAAAAAATAAGTTTTCGTTTCTTCTAAGTCTCCTTCTCTGGCTAAACATCCCCAAGTTCCTTCAGCATCTCCTTGTCAACATAAGTTCAATTTGCTTCAATATCTCAGTTGCTCTCTTCTAGATATCCCCGTGGTCTTCGTGTTCCTTTTTGAATCTAGAGTACTAAAGTACAGGATGCATCCCTGTAAGTGTTGCTCGACAATCTAGTCCTTAACAAGTCAATGGATAGAGGAACAAAGGAAAAATAATCATACTGAGCATAGCATAGTGAGCAAGGGAGATGCAACCACAGCACACATGTCATGTTTATCAACCAGTGGGGGGAAAGATTTTAAAGGGGCTGGATTGTGCAGTTTTTTGAACCATGTCAATATGGATTCTGTCTAATGTAAAGAAAAACCAACAAAACAGTCATTACAGAGACTGAGCTATCACTTGAAAGCAAGCAGCCACAGTATTTATGTGAGTTACTCACAAACAATAAAGTTTCTTAAGTATTAGAATCCTTCTTTTCCTCATTTCAGTTGGAATCAATCAATAATCATAGAATCACCCCAAAAGGATGTTGAAAAACTGGAGATGATGCGTAAAATACACATTCCCTGGGCTTTCAGTGGCTGTTGGCTGTTGTAGACCATCCTGATTGAAAAAGTTAGTGACACAGAAAAATTATCTCATCCTATCTTGGGAGTCACAAGTTGGGAACTTCAACCTTCAAATTCCTTTTATTCCTAACTCCTGTTCTTGCCTTCTGATCTTTCTTCCATTCTTCCAATATAGGGTGTCCCAAAAGTCACCCATATAGTCACCATATATAAATAAAATGAGAAATTGTAGCTGAATGTACCTTTATTTACAAAATATTAAAATATATAATACAATCTGTTGGGGCCCATGCCCCACATCTGCTGAATACTAGCTGCGTGCATTGAGCAAATTATTCCACTTCTTTGTAACTCAATTCCTTTTCTTCAAAAATCAGGATTTTTACAGTACTTTAAAAAATAAATTGTGTTCAGTAAATAAATGAATGTATCTAACGTGCTTAAAAAACAGTCTTGCCATACTAAACGCTATTGATGTCAGTTGTTGTTAATCTGTGTCACTGTTACTCATACAGCCAACAGATACGAGGTACTGTACTGAGGACAAGAGATACATCGGTGAACAGGACAATCTTGTACCCTCAGTGGTCACATTTCTCCTGATTTTATATGACAGCGATGACTCTGGAATCTGATTTCCAGATGCAATTCTAGAAGCTACTCTTTGTCCTTGTAACCTTGGATGAGGCACTTAACCAGTGGACTAAAATGATGATTTGTAAAATGAGAATTAATAATCTCTATTTCGGAGATTTCTCTACTAAAGAAGACAAAAGTATGCAAATTGTCTGGCACACAGTTGAAACTAAATATACACTCCTCCCCTCCTGGCATTCCCCCACAATCCTGTGGCCACACCTGAGGCCAGGGCACCCCACTCTGAGTTTAGAAGCCGCTGTGTTTCGTTTTGTTTTGTTTTTCTTCTGAAGCGTCAGGCACAAGTGTGGGGGTGCGGCGGGAACTCCTCCGCAGGAAGGCCAAACCCAGGAGGCGTGGGAGGAGACAGAGACCGGAGGGACGCAGGGACCATCCCGGACTACAACTCCCGGGATGCTCAGCTAGAGGGGGCGCCCCGCCCCGCCCCGCCCCGCCCGGCAAGGCGGGCGCTGCCCACCCCGGGGAGCCGAGAGCGGCGCGCAGAGGCTACAAGTGCTGCGGCTGGTGATTGGGAGACTTTCTGTGGGAGCCGCGCCAGAGCTAGCGCGCGGGGCTCGAGCCGCACGGGGTGGCCGAGGCAGAGGTGAGTGGCGGAGAGCGGGACGCGGGGATGCGCTGGGCGCGGGGAGGAGAGCCCGGGAGCCTGGCGGAGCAGGGGCGCGGGTCCCCACTCCCACTCCCTGCCCGGGGTGCCTGCTTCGTCTCCGGGTACCAAGCGGACGCAGCCCGACCGCGGAGCCTCGGGTGGGCGCGCAGTTCTCGGGAGCGGACTGACGGATCCCGCAGCGCCCGTGGAGGGCACCGCTGCCCGGGGCTTGCGGCTCTCCCTGCACGGCGCGCCCAGGACGTATCCCGAGGTCGCCTCCCCTAGACCAGCCTCGCCCTTGTCAGTTCCCTTGTGAATGTTAATGCCTTTAATTGATGACCGATAGAAGGAGGAAAGTGCTGTCCCTTGCCTTTAAGGTGCAATATCGTTAACTGGGCTTTTAGCAGACCAGAGAAAAGAGAGGGAGTGGACGGAAGCCGGGAGCCTTTCGCTGGTCCCCTGGGATTATCTGGTCTCCTCTGAGGATGGAAGCCCCGGATTACGGAGCTGCAGAGGAAGTCAACTGTGCAGCCGGTGTGTCTCGGACGGAGCAAGCGGGAGCCTCCCTTTTATTTAAAGAGAGGTAGAGGCAGGAGTAGAGAATTCAGTGGGGGATTTCTCGTCCTCTTTGTTATAAACTGGAAGTCCCACAAGGGACCGTGCCGATTTTATCCAGAGTAGTCTATGTGAAGAGTTCATTGTGCCAAAGATTAATATTAGAGCGCCTAACGCCTGGGGGGACCGCGAGGCGATTTCTGTAGTTGAAGATTCCCGTTACGATCCCTCTGTTCACCGAGGGATCCTTCAGTAGGGGAAGCTCAAGTTTAGTTGTGGTTTTCTCACACTTAGTTTTTTCTTTTTAATTTTTTTTTTTCTATTTTCATTACAGAGAAACTCCAATAATAGGAGTAAAGTGTTTGGGTTTTTTTTTTTTCCTCTGATGTAAAGCAGGACCTGTCAGTTCCCTCTCCCATATTTTGCGTTCCCAGGTTGACCTCAGGCGACCCTTGCCTGCGCTTGTCACCAGCTTTGGAGCTGTGGATTTTGAAGCATAATAAGCTTCAAGCTGTGGGTTAAATCAATTATCACCCTGGATTTAGAAGCAAAATAAGAGGTGTCCTTGGTTCAAACCCCTGTATTTAGTGGTACGGCAAAGTGAATTTTTATTCCTTGGAAAGATGGCAGAGGCAGAGAAAGATGGGCAGATGGTTTTCTGCTCAGCCTCAAAGTTCTTATCCCAGAAAGGGCCCTGGCTGCGGTGGGGGTGAAGGAGTATGGTGAATATAAAATCCCAGAGGTAACCTTAGAAATAGCTCCTTGCTAATTTGCCTCAACAGAACTCTGATTCTGTGGGTTTATGGTTTCTCTTTTATCATCAGTTCATTTCTAGATGGGGTTTGTAAAAATTTCTGAGGGGTCAATTTCTAGGGCATATTTGTTAACCAAGTGTGCCGAGGGGAGAACCTCAGACCCACACAGGGACCAGTGAGCAGGGGGCGTATCTGACGGGCAGCTGGGCAGGCTGCGGCGTGTGTGGCGGGGAGAGTGGGCTGCTCCTGGTACTGTGCACAGCTCACAGCAAGATGTGTTGTCTACACTGCGTGAGGTCCAAAACCTGCAGGAGGGGGTGGGGCGAGTGGAAGCACAGTGAACAGGGAGCATATGGTCTTGTGAATACAGGGCCCTGGGACTAGAGTCACTGGGTGTGTGAGGCATGGGGTTAAGCCAGCCGTTTTCACCCACTTGAGAGCTACAGAATCAAAACTGCTAAGCCTGCTCAGGGGATCCCAACTGACAGGGTGATGCTCTCAGAGCTCATCTGCATTAGGATCTGTTGTGAACTGAAGAGAGTGTAAACACTCGCCATCTAATTGAATCAAGAAAGCTGTGCTTTCCCAAGTCCCCCTGAATATGGGCAGCTCTGCTAAAAACAGCCCTGCCTTTCTCATTTGTGTCTTTATACAGGAAACCTGCCTTCTCGTTTGAGGGATCCTGTCTCAGGAATGTGTGAGTCCTTGGATAAATTTGGCTGGGTGACGGCAGTGTGCTTTCTCCAGAGACACTGCCACTTCCTCTGTGTGCCTTTTCTGCCCTGACCTGAGCCTTTCAGTGTTCATCCATGTGACAAGTCAGAGCTTGTGCCCTTTCCACGCTTGCCTGCTGCTAGGAATCCCCTCACTTCTTTTGCCCTTTTAGGAGAAACTGGGGCCGAGGTACTGACGGACAGCTGTGGCTGTGAAGGAAATGAGGACCTCAGGAGCAACACTGCTGGTGGTGCAGCCTTAGCTTCTGTTGGCTTCTTATCTAAACTGTGTTGTTATTGCCAGACTTTCCAGAAGCTGCTGGGGGATGTCTGACTAGCTTCCATGGAGCTCCACTGCCTTGCAGAGAAGAGCAACCAGGCAGACCTGTGCGCTGCCGGGGACTGGACTTCCCCAGGGCTTCCTGGGGGCCAGGCAGATGCAGCAGCCTCCAGAGCTGCCCTCCGCTGCCAAAGACGCTGTACGTCCACACCCAGAGCAGCCGCCACAGAAGGGTCTAAACTCAGTCCTCCAGCATCCCCCTGCCCCTCTCTGAGAGGCAGTGCTGTCCAGCCAGACCCCTTCCCACCAGGGCCTCTCCTCTCAGGGAACAGCCAACTCACACTGGAACGGAAAGTCTGCAACTGCTGCAGCCAGGAATTAGAAACTTCTTTTACCTACGTGGACGAGAATGTCAACTTGGAGCAGCAGAACCGGAGTTCTCCTTCAGGAAAAGGGCATAATCACCCTACAGACCTTGGCTGGGAAAATCCAAATGAGTGGTCCCAAGACGCTGCCATATCCCTGATATCTGAAGAGGAAGATGATACCAGTTCAGAAGCCACCTCTTCAGGGAAGTCTGTGGATTATGGTTTCATCAGCGCCGTCTTGTTCCTGGTCACTGGCATCCTGCTGGTGATCATCTCGTACATTGTGCCACGGGAAGTGACAGTGGATCCCAACACGGTGGCTGCCCGGGAGATGGAGCGCCTGGAGAAGGAGAGCGCACAGCTGGGGGCTCACCTGGACCGCTGCGTGATCGCAGGGCTCTGCCTCCTCACTCTGGGAGGGGTAGTCCTGTCCTGTTTGCTCATGATGTCTATGTGGAAGGGGGAGCTCTATCGTAGGAACAGGTTTGCCTCTTCCAAAGAGTCCGCCAAACTCTATGGTTCTTTCAACTTCAGGATGAAAACCAGCGCTAATGAAAACACCCTGGAACTGTCCTTGGTGGAGGAAGATGCTCTTGCTGTCCAGAGTTAACTGTGGCCATGAGCTTCTTGAGGGTCTGCCTTGGTGTTTTCTATGAGAAAATTGTTAATTTATTATAAGTCACCAGTGCAATTTATATGCCTGGCAAGAAAAGTTTATTTCCCAAACCAATAGCCAGTGAGTGAGTTTGTTCTCCAAATATCTTCTGTTTAGAAGAAAAGCCACAGAAGACACGTAAGAAACCACAACCAGCCACACCTATCCTTTTAAAGAGCTCACCACTAATTAATCTGCAATGCCCATGAGCTGCTACTTACATAGCAAAAGATTTCTAATGACCCAAGACACAAATGATTTCTTTTACATGAGTATGGGACATTATTCTTTGGCTACGAGGAGGTCCTACAAAGAGTGGGCTTAGCTGCTAATCTATTTTGTGAAAAGCTACTAAGCACTGATCACATAACATATGTAATTCTCAAAGGTGTTTGTCCATTTTCTTGCTAAATTTTCCTTCCTCTTAATTTGACTGAATGCTAAAATACAGAGTTCTGAGTTTGAATCTTTTGAAGCTTGAGGATGTTTGTTATTTTAAAAGTCACTGTAAAAAAAATGTTATATTTAAAATCGTTCCTGTATTCAAAAATAGTAACTAAGCCATTAGGACAAACTTTCTAATAAAAGAAAATTATATAAATCATTGTAAGACCAATGCGAATTTAACCCACAAGAGTAGCGCCAGATAATAGCCGAGGTGACATGCCCCTGTTTGTAAATGAAGTGGAATTAGTTGCTGCTATAATTTTACTTTTTGTTCGTGGTTTTGCCATCATACTGGTTGCCTGTGCTCTTGAAGTCTTTCCTGGTTCTCACACTACAGAGCAAAGCATGAAAGTTTTAAAATGTTTCCAGACCTCCAAACATCCAGCATGTCTGAGTCACAGTTGGCTCTGGCATGCTCCGAAGTGATGTTGGTTGTTATTTAGAGAAAACCTCCAGTACAATTGTAGCTACGCTCTTGGAAACAGTGCCTAACTGGCTGTATCACTTGCTCTAGACCAAATGACAAGTCCTTGCCTTAGGATGGCAGCAGTCCTTAAGCCCATAGCCAAAAAAAATTAACATGGGAAGAGAGCGATATTAAACAGTGATTCAGCAGGAGCTGCGTCCATCACCTGAACTCACCTCCCACTCACAGTGGTCAAGGCATCATTCAGTAACTGTGAGCTCTTGCCTTGCCAACTGCAAACTCTTGCTCTTGGAGAAGCATGATGGTCAAAATGTTCACAACTTTGCAAAACACACACCCAGCGTCCACACTGACACACCGCCTCTATATGGCAGTGGTTCAGGAAGGGGATGCGGAATGCAGCCTCAGAAATATCTTACATTTTGCAACTGTTCCTTGGGAGTTTCCGGCCTCCCAGAGTTGTTTGAACTGCTATGACTGTGTTACTGGGGTAATTCTTACAGAGGACGAGAGCTGGGAATCAGTGTGAGAAGGCAGGGATGAAGAAGTGGGAAAGTGATTTCCTTACCAATTGTAAAGTCTGGTCCTAAAGCCTAAAGTTTATGTTATTATGGAAACTTGTGGGATGCCTGGGTGACTTTGGCGGCAAAGTCTGTCAATCAGGATATTTACTGGAATGAGCTCTTGTGGGTGTCAAGATTGATTTACTGAGTGAGGTATGCTGTGTGCTACTAAGGGTTAAGGGCAAATGCAAAAAGGGAGGATCAGAGGACAGTAAAAAGAGAGGGCGGGTATTGGGAAAGAATTATTAGGTAAAAATGAGGAATTATATGGACATTAGAGGAAGATAGATTGCTTTACCCTGCGAGTCAGTACTGATTTTTTGATTCAGAAAGAATTGAGACAACAAAAGCATGATTTTGTTTTTTATTGCTGGTGCTTTGTACTTTTGGAACAAACTTTGTATGACTTGACTCATATCATGGTTTGTACTGAGGCTGTCTTACCAGCAGTGTCAGTTTTATATTCTGAAAGTTTATAAGCCTGGCTCTCGTTTGCTCAAGAATCCACTTCGCATAATATTGAAGCAGGCAGGACAGGATCTACTGCTTGGCTGAGTGAATAGCTCTGGGCGAGTAGGTCTCAGCTGTTTGTTTGCTTTAAGTACATTTACAAAAATGTACGTGTTTATCGATAGAATCTAAGTGAAATGAACTGGATTTGTTTTTATTTATTGGTGAAACAAGCTGAATTAGCCAAATGTCAGACTCAACTGAATTAATGTGTGGCGATTTTCAGTTTACAGAGGAAGAGGAGTTTAGAATCAAATGTTAAGAAGTTTTTTTTCAGTTGTTAATAAAGGAGAGAAAGCCAAAACTTTTCACGTGGAAGCATTGAATGAATCTTGCAGCGCTACCAAATTACACAGATGTGATCTGAAGGCAACATAAAATGCCATTTAGGAAAAGAAAATATTCAAGGGGGAGAAGCCCCAACGAGTCACAATATATTTCCTTTTTTCCCCCCAAGAAGTCTGTACAATTTTTCTTAAAATTGAAATTTAGTAAGTAAATGCTTATTTCAACATTCTTCGAACCTGCTCAGACAGAGCGCACACCTCTTTTAAGGTCCGGCTTATATGAGGGCAGACCATTACACCAAAAGGGACCAATTAAGAAAATCATCTGGATGACTCCTTTAGTGCTGGACTGATGTCATTCCGATCCTTGCCTTAATCAGCTTTGCTTAGATATCTGATTTGTGTAGCCCTCCTCTACCCTGTCAGTGCCTGCAATCAAGGTGATGATTACTTGAATTTAAATTAAGGGTAACACAGGCAAAGAAGAGCCATGTGCTTTGTGCAATCTGGTAAGAGTATTTTTGTTTTTGGCTCTAGAAGTTCTTTGGCAAGACCAGGTGACAAATGTTCCAGACATCATGGTAACATTGTAACAGATACTAGCTATGGTGCCGGTCTTAGATCCTTCCTGGAGATTTATCACTTTCCATCTATCTCTTCAACGTGGTGCTGGTTGGTTTATGAAAGTTTTTATTGCTAACCCTTGAGAAGGAAAACTCTTTTCTTCAGAGGTCTGAGGTCTTCAGTTTACTTACCTGGTTTTATAAATCTAAATTCAGAGTCTTATTCCCAATCTTAACAAGAAGGCAGCTCATCTTTTAGCTGGCCCAACAGGGAAGTTCTAGGAAAAAAGCTGCCTTTCTCCTTTCCTACTGGGACCTACATGCTGCTAACGGAAATCTTAAGCCTACTAATGTCTTGAATAAACCATTTGATTTTTAAGGCACTTTAAATTGCTTGTGGTAGAGTTTGCAAAGAGTTTTCTTTGCAAGGCTGTGTGTCCTTTCCAGCCATTTGGAGTTCTGCAAGCACCATATAATATGATGTACAAAGAATGTCCCTTCTCCATGTTCCCTATTGCATAGCTAGTTTATATTATAGAGAACAAGGCTGCTTGGAACCATAAATTCTTGGAAGCCACGGCCACTTATTACCGACATGACACTATGGCCCTTGATTCTGTACTATCTCCTCACCCTGACATACCTGCCTCGCTGTCCACTTAAAATATCTGAGTCCACCTCCCTGATACAGATTAGCTTTAGGGACTCACTTGGACCAATGCTGGTACATACCTTGTGAGATGCAACTTGCAACAGAGAGACTTCTCTACCAGATTTATTTATGCCTTTCCTTCCCCTCCCCACCCGGAGTGAGGTTAAATGAGTAAGCACCCCCTGGATGTCAAGAATTAAGAATCCGAACCCAAGTGGCTCTTTTTTTACTTTCTTCTTTGAGATAAGCAAAAATTAGAGTCAAGAGCCTTTGGACATTTTGGTCTTCATCGTTCCCATGTGCAATAGTCGGATGACACAAAAACCTTGCCCGGATTATTGCCTGAAGTTAAAGAAAAAGTGTGCTATCTATCTATCAATTAGGAGAGGTTCTTCAATCTGAAGGTCAGATTTCACTGCAGCAATTAATGTCACAGCAAAAATGTGATCTGACAAAAAAGATTCACAACCTTTGCCAATGGTTCACTTATTATAGCAAGATTTAATACCGTCAGCTAGATTCCGCCGCAGCAAAGGAATAAGACAGATCCTTACTGTTCTCTGTAATGGGTTTAACCTTTACCAGAATTGGACATAAAAAATGACTCTGATGAGAAGAATTGTAATGAAGTCTCACTGGCTTTTACCAGTGTAAAACAGTTCATAAGGAAGGGAATTAACACATCGTTGTGTTTCAGCTGATTTCCAGCGATATTTTTTATGGTTCATAGTATTCCAAAACATTCTTTCCTTCTGATTTTTATAAGCCTTGGGAAATAATCTGCCTGCCTAATGCATTGACACTGTAAAAAGTAAGACATTACTTTAAACACACAAAACTGATTTTAAAAATCTGTGACTTACACTTAAGAGCGTACTTGTGCTTTATATTTGTTGATGTGCAATGTATGCACACCTGAGACTCTGTATGTATTAGAAGTATATTTTACAGTTAAAGAGCTTAACTATCCAAAGCTACTGTTCGAATAACTTTCTTATAGGAGTTTGGCATGCCTTAATGTTGACTTTAAGAACAAGAGAAGTGTTTTACAGGTCATAAATGCAGAATTTGGAATCAGCATTCAGAATGAGATGCCGTAATTCTATAAATCTGTTTGGGTTGTTCAGCATCCCACAAAGGTTTATTGATTTGTTTTTTTAACCTCTCAATTTCAGGCTTATAAGAGTGTGGGATATTTAGAAATAATTTTACCGTGAATTATTATTTTACTTTGGGGAGCTGTGGGCAGCATTTCCTTTGTTCCAACTTTCAGTGACTCTGTGTTTCAGGAACAGCCAGGCTTATTTTTTATTGCTATCTTCATGCTTCTTAGCCTGGCTCCAAATAAATGTCATATAAGAGAGCAAGCAAAGATTAGGTTATTACGCCGCAGTGTATTTGGAAGGTGCTTTGAGTTTTTACTTTTCTTGCCAAACAAAAATACTTTGATGTTGATTATGTGATTTTTGATATTACAATGGGAAATTATTAAGGCCACGAGCTTTT